TGCTGCTCCCAGCCTGCACACCTGCCCATCGTTCTGGTCCCTCTGAACTCCACCCAGGGCACAGAAGGAGCTGCTGGCCCTGCTTCCCCAGCGCAGGTTTGTCCACCCAGCTCAGCTGCTCCCCAAAGCAGCCTCGGGCTGATGAATCACAGCTGCAGGAAAAGTTAATTGCTGTAATTACATCTCTCTCTCAGAATCCGAAGCACTTGGACCACATGAAAAAAGTCTTTTACTGCAGCTCACAATCTGTGACTTGGTGGTTCCACCTCCCCTTTAGTTTTTTTCACTCTAGGACACAGAACAAAGCCGTGATGCACATGGGACCGAGCCCACAGCGTTTGTGTAAACACAACCCGTTTCTGGTTTCACTTAAGGATCCACGCTGAGCTTTTTGCAAGTGCTCTAAGACAGGGTTTTTGGTGCTGTAAGACAGGGTTTGGCTGGGAGTCCCCAAAGTGTCCTGCTAGATTTGCCTGGCTGCAGTGTCCTGAATTTCCTTTGGATGGATGGACAGCTGTCATGCGGAGGAAATAATTATGTATTTGTAGTGTGGCATGCACAGATATATGCGTGTTTACAGATATTTACAGTGAAGCCAGCAGTTATCTGATCAGGCAGCTGAAGAGAGTAGTTATCACAAAACCAGAAAATTTATATGCAAACCTTAAAAAAAATATCCTTGAAAACAAATGCTATTCAGAACATTTGGCTAACTTAAAAGTATATTGAACAAATGAAACTTGCTACTTAAAAAAAATATTTGAATGAGTGAAAACAAATAATATTTAGAACATTTGTGCTAACTTAAAAGTATCTTGGGGCAATTGATGATTTAACCTGTAAGACTGTATTTATAGAAAACTTTTCAAAGCTTGCAGCATTGCTTGAGTAAAATATAAAAAGAAGGAAGCTTCAGAGGAGCTAAATATAAGAGTTGCAGAGTGAGTTCCCAAAGCTCAGGCAGGCTCTGGCTATGTGGGAAAACAAATCAAACCCTGGTGCCATCTCTAATGGGAAACAGAGAGGCAACCTCACCACAGCCTCAAAGAAATACACAAGGCACATTTTCAAAAACTAAATAGGGCATTTAACAACAAACAAAAACACAGAGCTGGGGCTCCACTTGAAAAACAAATTGACAGAGAAAGATGAGAAAAGTTATCTTAAACGGGTTGAAATTCCTTCTTGTGCTCCTTGCCAGTAATGTTCATACCCAGCATGGCAAATCAGCACAGCTATTGCTAATTTACCATTTAATTTAGAAATGCTGGACATCGCACTGCCATGCTGTGGACCAGAGTAGGCATCTCACCTTTGCTGGTGTACTTAAGATAAAACAATCAGCTAAAGAAAACAGATGCGTCCTCTAGAACACTCCAAAAAGAGTGATGGCCAGCTAATGAAAATGTTCTTTTGCAAGCAAAGTATTTGTACAGTTATTAGGAACAGCAATAATAAGTCAAAACTTAATGGACCACAGATTTAATGATTGTCTTTCATAATTATTTTAAGCTACTACTCCTGACAGAAACACTGCAGAAAGTCAGAGCCTTATATTTTTCCTAGAGTCTCTACTAGAAAGTGTGAAAATAGGTCTTAGGGGAACAGAATATTAGAATAGATTTGGAAAAGGAATAAAGAAAGAAATGCAGCATCCTTGGGACTGAATGTAAAGCTCCATACTTTCCTGTAAAACACATTCCTTCCTGAGTCAAGCAAATATTTCCATGCAGGAGCAACATTCCTGTTTTCTCTGTGTAAATTCTGTATCCTATGAACATGGAGAGCCTCAAGAGATGGCACAGCCAGGAATGTTGCCCCAGTGATGCATTTTCAATTAAGAAACCATGACCGGGAGAAAATCTTTATTAGAAGATACTGACAGATTTAATATAAACTCAGTCATAAGTGTTTGGAGACAAATATTAAAAAAAAAAAGGGCAAAAGGTTTTTGCTAATTAACTCTAGAGCCATGGACACCATCCCTCCTCAATTCCAGGGCAGATCACACAAACATCACACCTCAAAAATACTGAGGTGACATCCCCAAGCACGTAAATTTCACACCTGAATTCTGTCACTAATGGTTTTGACCAGATTCTGGCAGAGAAGTGTAAATACATTAAAAAAACCAAACAAAAACAAACAAACAAACAAAAAGATTCCTCCCCCCCAAAAAAACCCTAAATCATGCAAAAAATAAGAAAAATCTACGCCCCCAAGCCTCCTTGCTCAAATTTGGCTTGTGCTGGAGGCAAATGCCCAAAATTGTTTTGCTCTACCTAAATCAATTCACAAAAATATGTTTCCACTACAAAAACCACTAGTAGAAAATAGTTTTTAAATACAACTCTACATAACTGATTAGACAGAAACTACAGTTTGTTTGAAAGAGAAAAAAGCCACTGTATATAAAGCAAAAAGCAGTTAAGACCGAGGGAAATAGAGACATTTCCCAAATAAGTGATTTCAGGTGCACAAGGCAGAAACCCTGATAAAAATGCCAAGGGCTACTCAGAGATCCATGAGGACCCCCCAAAGTGCCAGTGCCAGGAGAGGTTGCAGTGACTCACACGGGGAGCTACGGAGCCCTAGAGGAGATTTGCTGCCCATCAGAACAGGAGGAACAGAGCACAAATAATCCCCACAGCTTAACCACTTCTGTTCTGCTCCTGCACTTACCCAGCTCTGCCCCACAGGTAGAGAGAATAACTCGAATTCAACAGGAATAACACTGTTTTTAACCCCTCCCTTCCAATTATTTTGCTCCACAAAATTTCCTCTGGACAGATCCAGAGGCAGAGACAATGAAAGCTGATGTTGTTGTTTGGTATTTTAAGAGTCACACAGACTCCAGTCCCTTTCAGCATTTCATAATTTCGCAAGAAAGCCTCTGCTTTAAATGTTGCTTTTGTTTTCTGGGGACTTTTAGTGAAACACACAAAAAATTTCTTCTTTAAACTCCTGTAAACAAGACAGTAGTTTTTTCTGTGTGAAATCAGAAGGCTCACGTTGATAGAAATCCCACACATTCTTACCAGCTGTCAGGATGGTTTTAGCACTCTGCACTATACTGGAGGATCTCACAATTCCTGAAATGCCTGCAGAGGGAAAAGCACACAGATGTTACTCATCTCAGCACTTGTGTGGGGATTTTTTTTCCCCTCCACCATGCACAAGTTAAATATTGTTCCAGTTATACAATCAAGCTAGCCTGAAAGTAAAACATACATTGCGAAAAAATGGGTTTGCTCTGCTTTATCATATTAATTAAAAGTATTCTCCAAACTATTTTAATTTCTTTTATATGTAACATACAGAAGAAAATCCATACCAATATTAAAACAGACAACAAGCAGTAGGAATTGATCAAATCCATTTATTTAGTGCTCCCATTATCTCTCTACTGAGATGATTAATCACAGAGGATTCAGAGTTGTTTCATCTAAGTGCTGGTAAATTAACATTCTAGAGCAGAACAAATGATACTCCCTGTTTACTTCAACATAAAATTGGGATTTGGCACTTGTCTGATCAAGCAGAGATACCTCTATTGTGCAGCTCTTCCCTGGCTTTTCTAAATTACAGCTTTTGGAGATAAGGCTTGATTACCACTTTGCACTGTGACACATTCAGCTGTCATTGTCCAGGGGTTCTTAATAGAACAGTTTAAAAAATCTTACATTTTTTTCAGAACTATTAAGTTCTACTTGTTCTAACACATATAAAAGCACTGATATGTATGCTTTTATTTAAAATTACTCACATTACTAAATACTTGAAAAAAATGCAGAAATGCAGCAGTCTCAGAGCTATTTTTCCAAATTGACACCCTGCATTGACCCATAAGATATAATTTCAAATATTTTTAAATCCTGCTTACATATTGAAGAACAAAGCATAATCCATGTATAAGTAAGGATACAATATTCTACTGGACAATCATTAGAGGGGTAGGAATAGGGAAGGGAAAGGAAGAAATTGTTTTGATGTAGCAAAATATCTTGGGACAATGCAATTCAGCTTGAGTAGTCAGCTCTGTCTTGTAGGATTCCCAAATGGCTTGGCCTGGCCCTTACCCAGATTGATTAATTAGGAAAATGCTGTGGCCACAAAAGTGGAAGAGTATCTTGATGTGTTCTCCTAAGAGTTTAAAGTGCCTGGGAAGATGTATCCAGTTTGCTGCTGCACTGCTGCTCCCTGTCCAGCCACAGCTACAGAAATACAACCACAACACCTGCAGAGCTCTGAGTGCAGCTCAACCACTGCTCCCTGCTCCCAGACCAGCTTTTAGCCCTTTACTGGCTGAGACCAGCCCAAGAAAGAAGCTGAACTCCTCCATGTCCAGGTGCAGCTCATCCCATGCTGCCCATGGAGACCTGCAGCACCCAGGAACTTTATTTCCCCAACAGAAATCAGGCTGAGAGCTTCCTCAGCTCCCTGGTTAGTGTCTAGTGACTCACAGGTTTATTGGGAATTTTTGCTGTGCTCAGAGAGCTTGCAAAATTTACTACCTGGAACAGAAAATGTGCCAGGTTCTTCAAATGCATAAAGGACCCCAAGTATTAAACTTTTTCATTTTCCTGCAGCGTGGCAGAACATTGGTGTCTGCAGCATCAGCTTTAACTTGCTCATATGACATAATGTTGCCTCAGAGCAGTTGTGCTGATGAGAAGCACCTCAGCCTTTTCCCTCTAAGCGGGAGCTCTGTGCCAGGGCTCACATGTCTGGGCTAACCACGATGACTGCCAAGGGAAATGTCAGCAAGTCAGAAAATTACCTCAGCCTTGCAATCTATGACTGGGAGGATATAAAGCTCAGTATTTTGATGAAGTTTGCCTGAAGATGGAAGCACCAGAGTTAGGTGATCTAAGCAGGCTGCACTATTATCCATTAAATTCTGCCTCTTTTCCAAAACACATCTTTCTGTATCCCTAGGAGTGCTATTGATAATATTTCAGATAACCTGTCTGCAGTCAAATCCAAACGCAGGCTTTCAGGAATGTATTTCATGATTAATCTCCCTCTCTTTAACCCACCTGAAATAGAAGAACATATACAATAGAATTGTGTATCTATCATGCCTTAAAGGAGATTACAGACATTGCTCCAGACCTACCTTGATGCACCAGAAATCCACAGTCAGGGTCATGGGCAACTTGCAGTAAAATTTCTTCCACGTCTCTGTTCTTTCCAGGAGGGTTTACTATAGCAGTTATCTTTTGTTGCAGAGTCTTTGGCAAAGCCATAAGTTGTGTAAATTGACCTTCTGGACTTTTATCAATCTAAATGTTATAAAAGTAAGACATTAAAAACAGACATTAAAAACATTCAGTTCTCTCTTTTTTTTTCTAAGAAGTCAGAAAATTGACCTCTGATAAATACCTCACAGAACCTGATCCATTTCACTAGAAAAGCCCCTTGACAATGCTAATAAAAGCTTTCCAAGCACGGGGAAATGCAGCATCTCAGTTTCCAACTTGAAGAATGACTCAGTGCAAGGGTTTTTATTCAAAGGAAGACACACATGATCTTGCTGTGTCTGCAAGTAAATTTTCATTGAAATTGTATAATTTCTGTTGTATCCAATTTCCTTTGGTAACATAAGTACAGGACAATAAAAAAAAGCTCCCAGAAGACCCTTCAGCTGAGTTTCTTCTGCCTGAATATAATCAAACTACAGACACACACATTCAAGTTTAGCCTGAAAACCATTTTCTCTGCTTTAAACTCCAAAGCACATCTGGTTTGTATAATTTGAAGAAAACACTCATCCCACATTTTGCAATCTAAATCAGAAATCCAGCGAGCCTTTTTTGAATACAATGATACCAACATGCAAGCCTGGACAGATTTCTCCAAAATGCAATGCACAATGGGGCAGAGCTCTCCAAAGGAGGAAAATCTGAAGAGCTCCATTCCTCCCACACAAGGTTTTAGCCACTTCATGGAGCCATCAGGCAGGAGCCTGGTTGCCCTCTCCACTCCCTTTTGTCAGCGTAGAGAAAATGATCTCCAGATGAGTCAGCCACAACTGCAGAGGCACTGTCAGGAGTGGCTCTGAGCACTGTGTGGGAGGAATCCATGTCTCAAGCAGAGCTCAGAGCTGGGCTCTGCCTCCCTTGCTTCTGAGGGACCCCGGAAAAAGGAATTTTCTCTGTAGTTCTGCATCTCCTGGAGAAGGGGGGGTCTATTCTGTTAACTGCATCCCCAACAGCACTCAGCCACCTCAGGCTGGGCAGTAACTGCCAATAACCACAGGAAGGTGTGAGTAATAAAGTATTAAACACTTTGTTGATTAAATGTCCTCATTTTGCTGTTGATTTGAAGCAGTCTTGATGACTGTTATGGGATTGTGGAGAGATTTATTATGCAGCAATAAATTTGCAGTATGCTACCAGGATTTGTTTAAAGGAATTTTTTTCTTGAAGGAAGTGTAACTAATTATTTCCCAAATTCATTTAAATATTGCTTCCACCAAACTGTTCAGAAGCAATAAGAAAACACGGAGACAGCTGCAGGATAATACAGGTTTGCCTGTGTTTTACCCCAAAGCATTGCAGTGAAACTGATTACAGTACTCAAGCCTGCAGTTAAATGAATTTCTAACAAAAACACATCCTAAAAGGTGGCATTTGGGAGAGAATTACCAAGGTTTGAGGATAAAGAGATGCCCATATCCATGAGACAAGTGGTGCTATTTGAGGTTTATATCACACTTGAATATTCACACACGGACATGCAGATTACAAAAGGGAAAAATTGCTACTGACTGGCATCTCTCCCCTAACTGTAATGTTACACCAGAAAGATGGAATTCAAGATACTGGTCACTCTGGATTTCCCAAAAAGCTAAGGGAAAATGGTTTTGTATGGGTATTAATTCCAGAATTTCACTTGGGTTTAGTCAGGTAATCTTCAAGGATAGAATTTGAGGTGTTTTTGTGAGATGCAGTTTTAATTGTAGAAAGTTGCACCTCTGAGTTACAGCCTCATCTCTCTAACACAAACCATCTGTTTATTCCTCACTTCCTAGTCTGTTATTCCCATGTGGAAGCCATTAGAACACACATTTTACAATGATCTGCTCTGGTTCCCTTGCTGGAGTCTATTCTGTGCTCAGAGAAAATGAGCAGTAGTTCCTCCATATGAAAAACCTGGCATTTAAGGCGAGTCTGCTGGTTGCAGAATTAACTAAAGAACAGAAACATAACACACAGCAAGCACAGAGACTACAACTGCTCTCCTGGTGCATTGCATAATTCCTGCCTGCTGTCAGTGATGAAGCACTTGCTTGTTTTAAAGCTGTTTAGAAGGAGAATACTTGCCTCGAGCCTTCCCAGATGGTGCTTGTACACCACTTGAGGGCAGTCCTGGAGTATAGTACTGTACAGCTTCTGGAAATGGGCAATGTTGGGTTTCACTATGTTCTGCACTTTGAATTTGTCTTCTCCTATTATCATTCTGAAATCACCTAGGCAGGAAAAGAGAGAGTTAAAACATTAGGAAAACCGCAAAAAACGAAGGAGAATGTAATAGAAATCAACATAGTACAGAGCTGCCATCTAAAACTCTATTCTCCAATATTGTGTATGCCAATATAATCCACAATAATAATCTTTTAAGAGTCAAAAAAACTATTCAAACACCTTCAAGCACAGAAAAAATGTCCTTGAAGGCAAAGGTTAAGTGGCCTCTGATAAAATGTCATCAGCCTATGTGTCTATATCTTCACTGGGAAGCAAAATAATTCCAGCTGTCAAGTAACAGTAACAGTCTGCACTATACCTCAATTGCTCACTCCTCATACTTTGTATCCAGAAGCCAATGAGCTGACATTTTCCAATTTGAGAGGTAATAATTTGCATTGTTTCCACACTCCAAGTGCAGTACCTGGAGTTCAGCTAACAGCAGTCACGGTAAGATCCCTGGATCACTCTTCTGTTTAGCCATATATTGTGTTAGTAGTTTCAAAAAGCAATTCCTTTTAACACCACTGTTACATTACTGGCCTTTACACTTTCTTTTCAGATACATGACTGAGAAGTTTCAAATAGAATAAATGAAAAGCCAGTGAGTTTATATGAAAGCATTCCACTCCTCTCCTAGGTACCAGCCTGGCTGTTTGCTGGGTTTCCAGCCAGGAGTTGGATGCTCAGTGTAGCTTGTATCAACAACCAAAATTCTGAATCAATTCCTTTTCCCACTTCCCACATTCAGGAGATAAATGTTGTTGAAAGGTGCCAACTTGCTAGCCTTCCTTAGTTTATTTCAGTTTATGCCAAGCCACAAAACAAACACTTCGCATATAAATGGTACTGACTCAGTGCTCTCAAAAAATGCAGGAAAAAATAAAAGATAAACATTCTTTAAATTAAAGCATTAACAACTCTTTTCAGCAGTCTCCAAGGAGACTGATTAGAGTAACACATAAAATCAATTTTGTCTACTAGTACAGCTTCTGAAAGACTTAACAAAATGGCAGCAAAATATCCACAAGCCACCTTTTTGTTGTACATTCCCAGATGGGAGCTGTGTTGCTTCAGCTTTGTTCACACAGCACAGCCAGTCTCAGCATTTTCCTGACTTTTGTTTAATTGCACTGTTTCAAAGAGTATAAAAAAATTATCTTGGTCACTAGTGCTCAGCAAGAATCCAGTGCCAGTGTGGGCAGGTTTCAGGTGGGCAGATAAGCAGTGAACATTTCTGGCTGGCAATCCCACTGTCAGCACCCTCTTCCTGATGCTTTAAAACAGGCAACACTTCAGGAGAGAACTGCTCTGGAAAAGTGAGCTGCAATCTGAACTGCCCTGAGAAGTGTTACATAAAACAGTGACACTCCTCAGAACAGCCAAACTTAGACCCTCCTATGCTTCCCTTAAAAGCCAAAATTGTATTTCTGAGTGAGCCAAGGAAGTGCTGTGTAAAGTACAACTCCAACCAAACTCTGTCACAGTAATTCCAGTAAGGATGTCAACATTTAAAAAGCAGTGCTGAGTTAAATTGTAACAATTACATCTTATATTGAAAACCATTTGCAGTAGTTTGTTCAATATTTTTCCTTACAAATTTCTTAAAAAAAAAACAAACTCAACAAATACAAACCAGGAGTGTTAAATGTAAATCAAAGAATCATAATCAAGATCTTTAAGTTAACTATATAGGAACCTTAAACACAGCACACACAAAAAGAGATGACAAGGTATGAGTCAGACTATCAGATGACTCAACATTGCACTGAGTGGAAAGATTTTTTTTTTCCCCCCAAGGTTTTGAAACATTCCACCAAAATACAGTCCATGCAAACAGGAGAGAACCCCCACTATTTCATCATATCGAATCACTCACACTTAGCTGCTCATAAACCAAGCAGGTACAGGCAGCACTGCTGGTGCAGCTACACCTATTTCCTGTGAATAAACCCAATTACTGGAGATATTATGTAACCACCATTCAGAGAGAATTCTTGGTGCATGCAGCAGTGCTGGCCCAAAGCAAGAAGGGAGATGATTAATCACACATGAGACTCCAACTGTGCTCCAACTGCAGCTCTTCTCAGCCACTTCAGACCCCCCACACTCACCAGAGTAGGAGAGTCCAGCAATCTGCAGGTAAAGGTCCTCTTCAGAGAAGCTCTCTGGCAGCATGAGGAAGGCTGCTGTCACTGCACTCTTCAGGTTGCTGACAAGAGCAGCTTGCAGCCTGCTGTTCTCATTCTGGGCCAGGATTTTCACCTGGAAAAGCAGAGCCATTTGGAACCAAGACTTCAGCAAAGTGCTACTGAAGCTGGAGCTAGAAATGTTATTTTTCATGCCAGATTGAGTAAGAAATTAATTTAAGAGTAGATCTTTCTAGCATGGTACAACAAGTACTAGAGTATCCCCACCATGTGAGAGAAAGGAACATGTTTTTAAGAATTAACACTCTGCTAGAAAAAGCTGTTTTCAAACACACAGGTTTGGAAGTGCTACATGCACCAGACATGAGCTAATCTCTGAGGAGCTAGTCACCTTTTCATACTTGTAAATTTAAGATTAATCAGAACAGGAAATATGAATGCATCAACAGAAATACTTCACATGTGATTGTGCAATAGGAAAAAAGGCTATACTAAAAGAGAACAGAACACCAGACAGAGTTAAATTTTCTTATTCATCTTCATTCCTTTTTTTTTTTTAATAGAGGACTGACCTATCAAATGCTTCAAGTAGTTTCTCAGATAGGGGTTGTCCTAGAAGAAGCAGGGCTTTATTTTTGCACTTTGCATGAGCAGTATGTGAACTCGAGGGGATCACTTACCCAGGAGGAACAGATCACTTGAATGCCTCTACCTGCCACAAGAAGTGTTTACTTTTAGGAAACACTGAAAGTGTTCAAGACCGACTAGAGAATCCAATCACTTAGGATATGGAAACATACTGGAATAAAAAGCAGATCTTTGGTGAGAACTGAAGATAGAAACACACTGGCAAATGAAGGGAAGCTGGTTTAGGAGATGGATAACTGTGCACTTCCAGAAACAACTCCCCTAGAAATCCCTGCTTGGTGTGAATTTATCTTTCTCATGTGTTCTGGTTAAGCAATTCTGTCCTGCTTATAAAAGGCAGCTTTTTAATATTTGTCTGCTCTACAACATCTTTTTGAACAAAGGTACCCCCCTTGATTTTTCTCCAATCTCATCAAGCAATTCACTTAGATGTACATTCCTAACTTGATGCTACAGGGAAATCTAAGGGAAGTCAGACCAGAGAAATCTGTGGCACCCCAAGCAGTCACACAGGTGACTGCAATACCTTAGGTTTGCCATGGAAACATCAGCAAGTTATGGACCTGTTAAGGACACCACAGTTAGAGCCTTTTAAAACATGAAACTCAGCAGAGATGAGTTTCATGGAAGACACCAGCCTTGCCTTAGAGAAGCAACAGGAATAACCTCCTCCTTTTCTAAAACCCCTCCTAATACAAAGCAGGATTTTTTTGAAAGAAAATAATACAGCAGGCTTCAAAATCAGAATGCCTGAAACACTGATAGCATTTATGAACAAATTTTCAATGGTTTAGAGAGCTGCAAATCTCCCAGGAAGTCTGAGTGCAATGGTTATCACCCTGGTAAAACATGAATGTTGATTCTTGGGCTAAATCTGACAGAGCTCCCACAGTTAAGGAGGCTTTTTCACAGTACAGAGAATTTATATTCACTGTACCATGTCACAAATCAAAGCAGCAGCAAATGCAGTTCCACTGAAAACAGCTATTCACTATTCAGTGTTGATGTGACATCCAGAACTCTCCCTTCAGTTATCTTTCTCAATGGATTAAGTTTCATCCTTTACAAAGATAACAGCTGCTCTAACCTGGATCATGCTGTAGTGCATCTCTGGAGATAAAGCCAGCAGTCTGAGACAATCTATTCAAACTTTCACTCCAAGTTTTTTAGCTAAAAGCATAATTAACTTCTCTTCCAAGACCTGAAGAGATTTCTCCTCTAATTCTCCCCCTCCCCTCATAACAATTTTTCCCTTAGCACTGCTGCCATCTGCTGAAAGCAAACTGAGGCAGGCACGAGGGGGAAAGTAAAGATTATTTTTTATGGTCCATTATAGAGGAGAAAAACCAACATGCAGAACCCATGTTTCATTCAGTTATGAACCAGACAGTAACTGCACAGCAAAGCTGTTTTCATCTTTAAAGATTTCAATTCTTTAGCTGTGTTAAATTTTGGGCACCCCTATAATCTGTTATAAAAGGCAGATAATACATTTAACATTAAAGGGACTTGGCATTAATAGTTATTCAAGATTTACTACAGGCAGAAAACTGTTATTAATACACTCACCTTTAGGGTTCTTTTTCCAGAGAACATCATGAGGAACTACATTTCACCTCCTCTCTGAGAGATTATCCCTCTGGGGCTACACCCCTAAATCAGGGCAGATTATTTGAGCAGCACTGCTGCACAGATCCCTCACAGATAAAGTTCAAACTCTAACTGATTCTTTTCCAGCCCTGTAATTTCCTGCATTTCCAGAGAGAAAACTGAGCAGTTACCGGCTTTTGGAGGCGCCCAGCCACATAGAGAGTTTTCCAGTGCAACAAATCTTCAATCAGGGCATCAGTGCTAATTACTCCATATTTTATCATCTGGAAAAAACAAAGCAAAATAGAGGCTTTTGAAGAGAACTATCCTTGCACTGTTTTCCCTATATGGAACTTACTACTTGCTATAACTGTTCTTAATCCTAAGGCACACATACCTCCAATAAAAACTAGAAAACATTTTTATGTTTTAATTAACACACGAGGTAAAAGAAAAACCTCCTATTTCCATTCCAACTTCTGCAGGGAAAGAATGGAATGCATGAAAAACTAAGTTCTCTTCTAGAATCAAGGTTACAATAAAGTAAGCAGCCAAATATTAAAATAGCTGGAATAATGCACATTATCCTTTATGATATTAAAAAACCTCAAGCAATAGCTTGTCAGAGACTTAAATTACAACCTCCAGACACTTACATATCCTGTTATTGGGAGGTGGGGTGTGTATCAGGGAGTTTTTTCTTTTGCTCTTTGATGTTAAGAAAAAAATGTGATTTTCCAGCTTATTTTAGGTAACTGGAAAAAAACATGGGACTTTCCACAGTTTGTTTCCAATCTGCAATACCTGAATTTCCAAAGATTATCACACAGCAAGGCAGGCAGCTCCAGAATTTCTGGATACCAAAGGACCACAGCCTTTGATATGACTGAGTCATTAGAACATAAGACCAGGGCATAAAGAGCCAAGAACACAATGTCATGGCAAACACCACTGGTCCTCCAAATGAAATCACAAATCCCTTTTTACATCACACAGATAAGGCTTAAACCCCAAAATATCATGCAGGGACAAGAACATCAAGACTGACAGTGTTTCCCTCACTTCTCCCTACCAAACACAGAGGTGCAGGAACAGGACTGCTGGACAAGACCACTCACCAGAATTACTGATTACCCCCAAGCATCACAGGTCAGGATATGAGACAACACAAATGTCAATTGCAAACTGCTGTTGTAACTTGCATTTTATATCAAACAGCCCACTTTGCTGCTACTACATGGTCAACTGCTGAAATGAAGCACCACCAAAACTGGCAGACAGAAAGCAATAATGAATATAAATGCAGTTCCTGAAATGCTTTAGCTCTAAGTTCCAAACACTGTTCACATTTCTAAGGTGCAAGACAGGCTGCTCTGTTTGCTTTTTAATTAAAATGCTGTTAGTGAAGCAGTTTGATACATAAATATTGAAGATACTACGAGTTAATCTACAATTACAATCTGCAATATTTGCTTCCTGAAATCTGCTTTAAGCTAATCATTTTAATACTTCACAGACATAAATATTTGACTCAATTCACTCAGACTGCTTGTACTTACCCTGCCATTGCATGGCACTAAGGTGTTGTAGTAAATTCCTGCTCCATATCTCTGTATGGTACTTATCTTTTTGGGCCCAAAAAATTTAAGGAAGGAATAATGATTCCTGTTCTTTAACAAGTTCATCATATGCCAGGTCACAACGTCATCAACAGCAAACACGAAGTCCAGCATATTTGTCTGAGGATAACAAGAGGAGGGGTGGGGTTTAAATGACAAGAAGAAACTATGTTATCATAACAATTTAAGATATACACAGTATCAAACTTCAAACTAAGTATTTTTCATGAGTAAGAAAATAAAAGTAGAACCCAAACCACAAGTATTAATGTCAGATACAGTTCAGAGGTTCCAGTGAAGTTGTATGTTTATTGTCAAGTATATCAGACAGTCCAAAATTTTCCTGTCCTGGTCAAGACCAAACTTCAACCCTCTAAAACAGGGGAGCAGGTGTGAGATCTTCACCAGCCTAATTCACAGCTCAGTGGAACAGCTTACAGCACTAATGAACAGCACGTTTTGGCCATGAATGGGGGAATGTGGGCAGCTAAAAGCGCCACTCCACTCTAGAGCTGGCAGCAAGGAACTGCATTTCTAGAATTCCTTTGTAGTGTATTCCTTTTGTCAACAAAACCTAAAAAAATAAAAATAAACATTACTTCCAAGTTGGCCCTCAGAAGATGAGGAAGCCCCCAGACTGCCATTTCACTACGGCAATATATTTGAAATTCCCCTCATTCAGCGCACAGCAGTTGGACAAGCTGTAGTAACTCTCCCAGAGCGGTGGAAAACAACCTGAGGTGCAGTCGATACACACGGTGCTGAGAGGGACCCCGGGCCCAGCGCCGGGACCGCCGCAGCCGAGAGCCCGGCCCGGCCACCCGCCCCGCTCTTCCCGCGGGGATGGGGCTCTGGTGGGGATCTGGTGGGGGTCTGGTGGGGATCTGGTGGGGATCTGGTGGGGGTCTGGTGGGGCTCTGGTGGGGATCTGGTGGGGGTCTGGTGGGGGTCTGGTGGGGGTCTCTGCCCCTGCCGCTCACACGCCGCAGGGCCGGAGGCGGACCCGGTACGCGGAACGCCGCGGGGCCCGAGCGCTCACCTCGCCGTACTCGGCCGAGGCCCCCGCCTGCCGGAACACCCCGGAGCCGTAGGCGAAGGCCAGGCTGAGCTCCTGCGGGAAATGAGCCAGGACCCGGCGGAACTTCACGGCCGAGCTGGACAGCACGGGCAGCGCCATGGCCGCGGCCCCGGGCCCGCCCGGCCCGGCGCTCCCGCCCACCCGCGGCGGCAGCGGAGCCCGCGCCGCGCTGCGCCCCCTGCAGCCCGGCGTGGGCATGGCGGGCTGGGCTGGGCTCCGCGGGCTGGGCTGGGCTGGCCGGGCGGCCCTGGCAGGGACTCGCTCCGCGGCCCCGGGTGCTCAGTGTCCCCTCAGTGCTAAGTGTCCCCTCAGCGCTCAGTGTCCCCTCAGCGCTCAGTGTCCCCTCAGTGTCCCCTCAGTGCTAAGTGTCCCCTCAGCGCTCAGTGTCCGCTCAGTGTCCCCTCAGTGCTAAGTGTCCCCTCAGCGCTCAGTGTCCCCTCAGTGTCCCCTCAGTGCTAAGTGTCCCCTCAGCGCTCAGTGTCCCCTCGGCGCTCAGCATCCCCTCGGCGCTCAGCGTCCCTTCGGTGCTCCCCTCAGTGTCCCCTCGGTGCTCAGTGTCCCCTTAGCGCTCAGTGTCCCCTCGGTGCTCAGCGTCCTCTCAGTGCTCAGCGTCCTCTCAGTGCTTAGTGTCCCCTCAGCGCTCAGTGTCCCCTCGGTGCTCAGTGTCCCCTCGGCGCTCAGCGTCCCTTCGGTGCTCCCCTCAGTGTCCCCTCGGTGCTCAGTGTCCCCTTAGCGCTTAGTGTCCCCTCAGTGCTCAGCGTCCTCTCAGTGCTTAGTGTCCCCTCAGCGCTCAGTGTCCCCTCGGTGCTCAGTGTCCTCTCAGTGCTGGGTGTCCCCTCAGCGCTCAGTGTCCCCTCGGTGCTCAGTGTCCTCTCAGTGCTGGGTGTCCCCTCAGCGCTCAGTGTCCCCTCAGTGCTCAGTGTCCCCTCAGTGCTCAGTGTCCCCTCAGTGCTCCCCTCAGTGTCCCCTCAGTACTCAGTGTCCCCTCAGTGCTCAGTGTCCCCTCAGCCCTCCACTCACTGTTCCCTCATTGCCCCTTCACTGTCCCCTCAATGCTTCTCTCAGCGCTGGCCTCAGGTCCTCTCACTGTCCCCTCATGGTTCCTTCAGGCTTCCCTCATGGTCCCCTCAGTGCTCCCCACAGGGTATCCCCAGTGTCCCCTCACTGTCCCCTCACTGTCCCCTCATGGTCCGTTCAGGCCTCTCTGAAGTTCCTCTCACTGTTCCCTCACTGTCCCTTCAGGCTTCCCTGCATGTCCCCTCACTGTCCCCTCGCTGTTCCCTCACTGTCCCTTCAGGCTTCCCTGCATGTCACCTCACTGTCCCCTCGCTGTATCCTCACTGTCCCTTCAGGCTTCCCTGCATGTCCCCTCACTGTCCCCTCAGGGTGCCTCTGAGCTGCACTGTCCCACTAAACCAAGCACAGCGAGGTGATGTTCAGCACATGGGCCTAACATTTAGTCTTCTCCCCGCCACCACTGCTTCATCCTAATTTTTTTAGGTCATCACAGTTCTGCACCCCTTCTTCAATTGTTTTTCCTCCTCATTAATTTTTTTTTAAATTCGTATTTTATGCTGTTCCGAGGCTTTCCTCAGGACTTGTTGCTGGTGTTCCAGTTCTTCACACATCCCCCGGGGAACACAAACACAAACCCACAGCGTTTAATCATCGTGGTTGTGCTCAGGGCTGTCTCACGCTCTCCTCGTGCTGAGCCTGCCTTGGTTTGAATGTTCAAGTCCTACACAATAAACCTGTCTGGGCTCTGAGTGAGCTCTAAATGTATAAATGGGTCTCATGAAATTGATGTGTGCCTTGTTTCCTCAGGATTTTACACTTGTCTGCATCTGGTACCCAAAATTTTATTTTCCTGTGGTTTATGGCTTTCAAAATTACCTACCTGGGGTCTGAGGGAAGGTTGGCAGTAGGAGATAAATTTATGCTCTCACTAAATTCCAAACACAGTAAGATCTTTAGACATCACTGGGCTCATAGTATCTGATTAAAACAAATATGAAATGTTCTTTAACTGTTACCCCAAGAAAGTTTGATATACACAGCTAAGTCATCATCTATGCAATTATTATTCTGAAGACAGATAAATATATGATAAATGGGCATTGGGAATTTTGGGAGAAAGCACCTGAAGCAAGAGAACAAACTTGCATTGGCAAACAATGTAAAACTTTAATGATGTGAGGCAGGTTCCACCATAAAACTGCACCAGACTTCTACTTTTCTGAGTTTTTCTACATCAAATGATGCAGTCAGAGAGACCCTTCTGAATATTCACTTTCAGAGGAAAAACCACAGCATGCTAGGAGGGATGTGTTTATATTAGAAACAATCACATTATAGTTAATGAATTTTTATTATTCTGAATAATAAGGTCTCAAAGGTGCAATTATGACTGGAGTTTGGAGACTTTTGTTCTCCCCAAGGATTGTGATTCAGTGCCCAGTAATGTCTCTGAACTGATTTAACTACTCATAAGTCAGATCGTGGACCTTGTTGTTTCTTTAGTAAAAGTATTTTAGTTATTAAAGGTATTAATAACACATTGACACTAAATGCTACATCAATATATATTAACTATAACTAATAATTACTATTTAAATACTTCATGGTACACAGTATAAAGAACAGCAGATTTGTTGAGCTTACATTTTAAGTTTTTTCCTGCTGCTTAGGTTAGCCAAAGATTTTGCATTACTTCTGAGAGAACAATCTAACTCTACAGAACAATTTATGGAAGTACACAAAGAAATATTTTGGTGATATAACTGGTACTGCTTGGCTGGTTCTTTTTGTCATTATTTAGAAAACTTCATGCAAAGTTTCAAGCATCTATACTGACTTATGGGTCAAATTTGTTTTCTAAATTCGATTCACCTTCTTTGCTGTTATAAAGAAGTCTAATTTTATTAAATCAAAATAGAAGCTGAAGGCCTTCTTATATATTGTTATGGATGGTGTGGAACTAGAATGCACTTATTCTAGTAAATAAGTAAAAAGGGGGAAGTTTCTTGGAAAATTAACAGGCAGGTAACCTTTCAGGAGGAAGTTACACTGTTGACTGACATTAAAAATTAAGGTAACAAAGCAAACTTTTGAGAGGGTATGATATCTGGGGCATTTTTCCTTGGATATTAGAGAAAATCTGGGGAAGAGGTTGCTCAAATATTGCAGAATAGTCCATTTTTACCTCCCCACCTCTACCTTGCCAGCTCAAATTCTCTCCCTGAGGCTTCCAAGGTGGATTTTGTTCAAAAAATTTAAAGGCTTTATTTTTCTACTTGTTCTTTGCTATTCTTCCTTAGCTGACTTTTATGTATTTTAAGCTAAATCTAAAGTTTGTTTCTTGCATCTACTGCTGACTTTTAAATTGATTTTGTTTCCAGCAGCACAGGCAGTGTCGAGATTAATTGTCCTCTGGGATAAAACCCAGAGCTCATCGGAAAGTTTCTGTAAAGCTATATTTTGTCTCATACTGATTCTGAGCTTGGCCTCTAATCAGTTTTTCAGTGGAAGTTTTGCTTTGCTAACTTTGGTAAGAAAGCCTACAAGCACCAGAAGGTCTTCAGTCTGATTTTCACTCTCAGCCAGCACTGCTGATAAAGGGAGCAGTTTTCTTCTCCCGGCTTCTATCAGTGTAGGTGTTTGCGTGGCTGCAGATCAGAACAGACTTGGGAGCTGATGTGGGTTAAAACCAACTGTTTGGGGTTGTTGGGGCTTTGTAAACCAGTCTAGTTTTAACCAGGTCACTGGTGTGCTTCACCACACATGTTTGTGTTGGTATAAGCAGGAGAGATGAGAAGATCTCTTCCTCTGTTGACAATGCTGGTTCAAAAGAGAAAAGTACTTGTTTGGGTTTTTTTTGACAGAATTTTTGCACTTAAAATCTTGGCTGTGATTGATCCATGCATTAAAGTTGTATAAGGAAGGGAACAATATTATGTATGTTGCACAGTCTTTTGCTTTTATTCATTCCTTTCCAGCCAAGTTCTAATACTTGCTACAGAGAGCGTGACAGGAGTGTGACCTTGAGCCTTTATTTCGTTTTTTGGCAATAAAATGCACACTTTGATTAGCTCCCACATAAATGCATGTGCAGCTTTTTCCCTGCCTTGCCACCCCTATGCTCTCCAGCACCTTAGAGTGGAGTCTCAAAGATGTTGACTCTGTTCAGTGTCTGAATATCTCTAAAAAGAGATATTTGCAGCTCACTGTATCTATTGTGCAATAGAAAATTATGGAAGCAGCTCTCTGGCCACAGAGAGCAGCAGACAACTTTCCCAGGCCTTTCTGGGAAAACTCTGTGAGAAGATCAGAGAAAAAAATGAGAAACAATTGTTACCTTAACTTGCTGCACCTGTTGCTGTGAGCATGTGGAATGCGTTATGGAGATTTGTTTACCCAGGGGGTGGTTTCTTAATTAGCCAATGGTGATGGTGTTTGGACTGGAGGACCAATTAGGTCTATTTGTATTGTAACTGTCTATAAACCAATGGGTTTCTTAATAGTAATAATTGAATAAAGAAATTGATCAGCCTTCTGTGAATGATGGAGTTGATGCTAATTATTGCCTGACTGGGGGCTTGTAATTTGCTGCGACAGAAAATTCCAGTTTGGGTCTTTACAGATTTATCTTAATAACAGCATCTTCAATTAAAATAATAGTTTCACTAACTTAGTGTGGGAATCTGAGTACTCACAGTCTGTCAGCCCATGAGTTGGTGGCAGTCTGGAGCTGTGCTCAGCTCTGCTGTGTGGCTCCTCTCTGCTGCTGGGGAGTGCTGTGGTTTGGGAGGTGCTGGGTACCTCACTTGTGGTGATTTTACTGTCTCGGGGTCTGCTCAATTGCTTCTTCCTCTGCTCTTACCTCTGTGGATCTTCCTCCAGCAAAACAGACAACTTTGTGCCCTTGGGTTTTGCAGTGGTGGGGAATCTGTTCTACTTTTCCATAGCATGTGTCTGTTTGGTGGAGGTGGCAGACTCCTGTGAGCGTAGAGTTGCTGCTTCTTGCCTGTAACTGTTAAAAAATTCATTTTTGTAAAGTAGTGGCAGCATCTGCAATCAACAACTCATGTTGTTTGTTTGAAATTTCTGTGTGTTTCTGTGATTACACTATTTGAAATTCTCCATC